GCTTACGTTAATAATATTTTACCTTATAAATTAACGTTTACCTACCTTATACAATTACTTTTCGAAATTGGAATTTCGGCTATTATTACCGCGTAGCTAATTATAAATAATAGAGGGAGGGAGGCTACGAACGGCCTTATAGAGCAAAAACTTCCGAATACTATTTAAAATTTTATTTTAATCTAAAAATTCTAAATCGTAATAGTAGCGTAAATTATTAATATTATTAAAATTATTCTTTAATTAAATAGCCAGTTAAAATAATATTAATCTGTCTGGGAAAATAATTTTTTTAACGGCTTTATTAGAGCTGATAAATATATACGATAGTTTCGTACGTTAGCTAATACTTCGATTCTTCCCTTTTTTTTTTTTTTTTTGTATAACCGATAATATAAAGATTAGGTTATTAGTAAAGGAATAGTTACTTTTTTTAGCCTTTTTAGGTACGTATTACTTTATAAAGGGCGTATAGATTATATTTAAAAAGTTCTTATATTATACTTATTATTCCTTTATAAAAAAGATATCCTCTTAGTATAAAAAGAATTGTATTCGCCGTTCTAAAAGGTTTACGGGGATACAAAAAGGGTTTTAAATTTTAGAAGGTAAAATAGGTAGAATAGCGGACTTTAATAGAATATATTAATTCAAGCTTTTTTATGTATATTTAAATAAGTAAGGTTTTTATTTCTATTAATTTCTATAAATTTAGCGGTTATAATAGGTTTAGCGACTATAATAAATTTAACGGCTATAGTAGGTTTAATAGCTATAATAAATTTAACGGTTATAATAAGTTTAATAAACGTAGGAGCAGCGGGTATAGTAAATTCGGCGGGTATAATAGGTTCGGCGGGTATAATAAGCTTAGCGGGTATAATAAATTCGGCGAATATAATAGGTTCGGCGGATATAGTAAATTTAGCGGATATAGTAAGTTTGGTAACTATAGTAAATTCGGCGGTTATAATAGGTTCGGCAGCTATAGTAAATTCGGCGGCTATAGTAAATTTGGCGGTTATAGTAAGTTTAGCGGGAGCGGTAAATTCGGCGGATATAATAAGTTCGGCGAACGTAGCGGACGTAACGAATATAATAAGTATAGTAGGCATAAAAGCTTTTAGAATAATAATTAAATTAATATTTCTTTTCTTTATATATTACGCGGGTTTTAACCATTTCTAAATAGAATTTCTTATTCCTAATAAGCGGTATTTTCTTACTCCTAGGGGGCAGTATTTTTGGGTATAGTATCTAATTATTTAAATGTTAATTTTTAATATTCTAATTATTATTTTTAAAATTATATTTACTGTAAATATCTATTATTTTTGTAAATTCGGTACTATTCCCTCTAATAAAATTATTTTCGTTAGTTAGTATTTGCTTTATATCTATTATAAATTGAAGTAATACCTTGGTAAATAGAACTTTATTAAAAAAATCTTTAGGAAAAGTATTAACGTTTATTAGCTATAGGGGGAAGGTTTGGTCGTAATTAATATTAAAATTTATTATAGTAATGATAGTAGTAGTAATAGTATTACTAGTATTGATTATTAATTTAGTTTAATATTATTTTATAAAAAAATAGTTTATATATTCAAATTTCTAGTAAGTTAATTTATCTAATATTTATATATTTGATTTTTTTTAATTAAAACACTTCACTACTACTACTACACTAGCTTTATCGTATTTAATAGTCTATAATATTTATAATATTAATAATTAAAGTAAAGTAATACCAAATTTTAAACGGAAAATAATAATTACTTTAGAAAAGGCTTCTTTATTTACTATTCAATTTGTATTATAATAGTTTTGTCCGATGTCTTCCCCTAATATAGTACGTTATAGTATTTCAATATTATTGAAGAACCTAAAAAAATCTGGACCAATTTTTCTCTTTTCCTTTTTTATTTCTCTAATACGGCGGTACTACGCCACGTCGGCGGCGTCAGCGTTTCGAATTCCGTTGTAGGTGCTCCAAGTTCCGTAGTAGACCTGCAAAAAGGTACGTCCCTTTCATATAGCCCTAATATTTAATTCTCAGATGGCAGCAAGAGCGGGCCAGGGACAGAACTTCTTTTGTTGGAGCGTGTGTTTGGGGACAATATCGGGATAGGGCGGAACAGAATGGGGGTCGATCATGCTGCCAGATGCCACTTCGGCGCGGGGTCATCACGACGGTGCTTCCCGCAGCACCATCACATCGCAGCCCAGGGCATCGAGTCGAGCCACGACACGTCTGATGGAGCAAGGCTTCGAACCCATCGCGTCCTTTTCTCGCAACACCACCCGGACACCACCGCACCACCATCACCACCACTAGCAGTTGTCAACGCGGCAGCTATACCACCTACCCCGCGGCGACCAAGGCATGCTAGGCCGTTGAGCCGGACTGCTGAACGGACCCATCCGCAGACGAGAGAAGCCATACGGAAGGCTGCCACGGCTCGACTATAGAAGGTCAGGCACAGATGCAAGGCCAGCTCTTGCACTGAATCCAGAAACGTCCGAGGAAATCGTTCTGATACGACAGCTAGAAAGACATTCGCCTCCCGCTATCTCGGTGATAGTGATAGCTCGCAATATCCATACATATTGCATTGCATACCAGGCCGACACTAACAAAAAAGTAAGGCGGGTTGGGCACCCATCCTCTCCATCCTTTCGTTCGACATTTCGGCTATCCGGAGTTTGGGCTTGCTCATTGATGGCTTGCTCGCATCATGTTTCTGCTCGAGACTCCAAAGCAGCTCCACGATGGTTCCCCGCTACCAGTCGCATTTCTCCTCTGAGAGAAACAGCAGTGCTAGGAGCAACCTCCGATCCTATGGCGGCCCTATTTTGGGTGGATTCATCGACTGCTTTACCCTTCCACTGTGATTATCATCTTCTTCGGACGCGGCAAGAGAGGCCGGGTTTCGGTCGAGTCTGATGAAGGTTCAAGATGTGAGCGGTTACTGAAATTGCATTGTCTTACGACCGACCGCCGGAGGTAACCAAGGTCGGGATCGAGCAGGTCCGGTGTCTTTCAAAAGAAGATTACAGCATGAATCCTCAGCGGCCTTCGGTTTCTCACCGAAACTAAGCGCCGCGAAACAGAGAAGAGGGAAGATGGAAGCTGACGACCGTAAGAAGCGCAGGCGCTTGCGTAATGGCGCTTGCGTAATGGCGCTTGCGCTCGACTGTTAAGGAATTGTGTGGAGTTATTGCGGTAGACACTGAACACAGCGGGTCGGGGTTAATCGTGCACTAACATCGGCGGCGGCTGGGCGGTTACGGAAATTGTTAGAGGCCGGTTTTGCCAACCCAATCCGATATCCGAAGCTCTCCTGTTCATCATCTGACAATTCATCCAAAATTGCTTCATTCCTCACTTTTCAAAAGGGCTTGATGATGACGGAACAGGTTGACAGTTGCACAGCCTCATTACGAGGTTTGTAGGCGCTTAATATCTCCAGTCTCACTCACGGAAAGAGGCATATCAGGGACGAGGATCTTCGGATCGGAAACCCACAATTAAGCGCCCGTCCAAGATCGAGGACGATATTCATTCCGTTCGTACACACAAGGTGTCGTACAACAACAACTCCCAACCTCCTGCTCCCTTGAACTCACCGAGCAACATCATCAGTTCGAGAGGAAAACCTACCTTCGAAAAATACAGCAAGCCAGATGGCAGCAAGGTCACCATGTCCAAGAAAAGGAAACCCGAAGTCGCGCCTGAGTAACGTTACACTCCTGGACGTCGCCTGAATGGCACCGAGAACTGCGCAAGAACCACCGAGATTTTCGGAGTCGGAGTCGTCCCGTCCGCTTAACGTCGCCGGCGGCCCGCGGCCTTTTCTCCGAACGGGAGCTTCAACATCGACAACTCTTGCAGTTTGTTCTCCAATTTTCACGCAACACCAGATCCCCGATCTGCAATCTCTGTTGTGCTGTCAGTCAAGCAAAACGCGCTTTTCTTTTTTCTGTCTTTTTCTTTTTACTTTCGGGTCTTCTACCCCCCTGTCTTTGCGTGCCGCATGGAAGCCCGACCAATTCCCATTCCCCACAAGGGTCCGATTCTACCACTCAATTGTCTTGACCAATCAGACCGCTTAACCCGACTTACACCACTCATACTATTGCCTTTTTGGACATGGAGGACATTGGGAAGTTTTCCCGTCGATTGGAAGACGTTGAATCTGTCGCTATATATGTGGGTAGTATGTATGCTGTATAGAACGGCAGACAACCAAAGACTGGAAGTTGTCTAGGTTTCTACCGACTTTCGTTCCCTTTGCCAGTCTGGGTCTGGAAGAGAAGAGGAAAAAGAGGGGAAGGAAGACTGGAAGAAAAGAAACAGCGAAGAGGGAGAAACAAAAAAAGAGGAGTCATCCACACATCCTTACATACTAAAACATGCAGAACACTATATGGACACTAGCACTAACAGACCGAGCTAGGCGTCCCGACTAATGCTAGGTGAAGTGTCAAAACTGTACCCATTAACATGTGGTGCCATCGTCCGTCCCGGGTACCAGACCTTCGGCAGTTTCTTTCTGTTTTCCGTTCTTTTCCCACTTTTTTTTTTTTTTCACTTTTTGGGTTGACAGATGTTTCATTGTTTCATGTGGCAGCGGGAGAAACATGAAACAAATCTTTTCTGCGAGGCATACTCCATTCCCTTTGAGGGTCTGACCATTCACCTCTTCACGATCTCTCTTGTATCCAGTGTCGTGGTGCGGGGAAGGGATAAAAAAAAAACTTTGTGTGAAAGAAGCACGTCAAGTCACGCACATACATGTGAAATATGTGTGAACGTGACTCATGTGAAAAAGAAAAAAGAAAAAAAGAAACTCCGTTATCTGTCGACATGGCATGCATGATATGCTTGGTCTTTGTGTTGTCCATGTCTAGAAAGGTCTGATATTGAGGCTTTTTATTTACCTCTAGAGCTGTATGGTTGTGATCTTCAAAGTTCCATCCAAGCAGTGAATGGATGAGTAGGTAAACGCAGGTCATATCAGACGACTGACTGACGAGTTGAACTTGCAGTTCTCATCTACAACTCGAACTTTTGAAACCGTTTTTTTTCCCCAGAGGAACCTAAGGTTGGAAGAAGGGCCGCATACCCGTCTTCCCGGAGCGGAAACTCTTGTGATAGCATCATTTCTTGTCAGTCTAATAATTTTCCGCGCCAGAAGAGGAACAAAGGTAAAGAACAATGCCGCCCCTCGCTTCCCCCATTCTTGACCACGTGCGCACCAAGAAAACATGAAACACAACACCTTCCAGCTCCCCTCCTCCCCGCTTCCCTCTACATCTACCTACCTACTTTACACCTCCATCCTCAGGAACGTTTGACCTGGGTAATAGTCATAACGAAGCACAGCCTCATTCAGGCCCATTCTCCTGGCCAGTGCGATCGACCGAACGTTGAAGCCTTGTTGTGCATCCAAGAATCTTATTAGGTGGTGCTTCATCTCCCAGATGGCGGCTATTTGTTTCGTTTCATTTTCCGTTGGACCAATCACGTTTCGCATACACTCACCAACAACCCGTCTCTTCAGCTGGACAACGTTCACTCATCCTTTTTTTTTTTTTTTTGGTTGCTTGCTCGCGCTTGTTTCATCATATAATTTTGAGATGGCCAGGTTGACACCCGGACGGTCTTGTATATGTGCAATGAGGTGTGAGGGTTGTGCTCTAAGACCGTAGAGGAACAACCAGGTAACTTTCTTAGGAGGTCTTTACCTTTCTGAGGTATGGTTCTCACCAGAATTGCGGGTTGGTATACAGTGCTAGGGTTATAAGGGACTTCGCTGGTTCCTTTTTATTGTATTTTTAAAACGGAAATTGCTTTGGACATTCATCGGCGGAAAGTTGCGAGGCATCACATGTTGATCTCGTTGTTGGTTGTGTTCAAAAAGAGAAAGCAGCATAGATAGTAGCGGGAAAATACCTCTACATTTCAAAAGTGCCTGGATCCATTTCAATTTTTCTTATCTTCAACGGGCAATGATTGAGCAAAGAGAAAAATGAGAATGAGGGAAACAAAGGGTGAGCTGACGGAGAAGTTAAAATAAATGACCAAAACCCGAGATTATTCCAGGAAATTTTATTTCATATCATCATCAAACCATCATCCAATGGAGTGTCTCCAAAGCAGTTCATCCAAGAATGAGATGCACATCTTCAGCTTTCGACCTTTCCCATGCCGACCTGAATACCTGCCCGACTCCCTTTCTGTAAGCAATGCCATCTATCCACTCAACCCAAAGGACATGGTAGAAGTTCCATTTTTCCGGGTATTGAACTTGTGGCCAGCAGATGGTATGCCCGCGCGAGATAGCAACAAGGTCTACTTCAATCCCCTGGCTCCCAGCATCCCATCTCTTTTGTATGTCGTCGGCTAGGTTGGGGAATAAGACGCCAACGGCTTCTCCCGAGTTATCACAGAGGATAACTTTATAGTCCCGGACACTGTATCCACTGTATCCGAGAACCTTGACTTCGCAACGACAGTCCTGCCATTCGGGATTTGCCGCTTCTTCATCCGCTTCTTCTACTCCCATCTGGTCATTGAGGTCTTTGCCTGGTTCTTTGTCTTCCACGTCTTCACCCAACGTGTCCCTCACATAACTCCCAGGAGCTTTGAAAGCTCTGAGCCTCAACTGAGTCGTCTCCGCGCAGAGATATCGTCCGAAAGGAGGCTCTACGTCAAAACCGCCCGGCGATGGCTCCAGCTTTTCTCCCACAGGAATCGGATGGAAGAAATAGCCCCAATCATATGCATCGGAGCGGCAACGGTATGATGTATGAAAAATCATGGATTGATATGTCCAGGCCGAACTTTTCGCACTCTAGGCGCCATAAATCTCTGTGTTCAACACTTCTCCACTCCTGACTGTCATCGTAGTTTTCTGTACTCCAACCCTCTGGGAGGGAATCCTCTCCTTTCCCAAAGTAGCGGATCTTGTAGTCATACCAGTCGTTCTGAAATAGCACTGACTCTCGTCTCGCTCCTATAGATGCCTGTAAGAACCACTGCAAAAATGGAATGGTCCTCGCGTTTGGAAACTCTGGTATAGGCAGCCCATATGGAGGATAGCTTTCTTGGTCGAGCGGGCATGTTCTCCAGGTTGGCGTCAACTGTCCCCACCACCCTGCCCACGACCAACTCGGTGGAGCAAGGTTGTCTGCCGCTGAACTTCTCCGGCGGAATGGTTCTTTAGGGTTCGATCGCCATATTAAGGTACCATCTAGGAAAGATATGGGAAGCCCATATAGAAAGCCACGGGGAAGCTTCGGTTGTAGCATACAGATGATACTGAGGGAAGCAGGTACGACATCCGTCTCGAACGAAAGTTCCCGCACATTGAAAATAGTAATGTACGTTTCCAGGATCTCAGTTCTCAGAGGCTCCCGAGGATGGAATATGTCACGCAAGCTCCAGTCGAAGTATTTGTTAGCCGCCGGCACGGTAATATCGTGTAAGCGACAGATGTTCTCCTCCGCATCTTCGTAATTCAGACCACCCCACAATACCGTACCATCAACGAAGATGAGCTTCCAGGTTGAAAAAAAGATGTTCCTGTAAGGTCCAACCTCTTTGAGCCCATGTGGACTTGCGCAATGCCGCTGTGTCGTTTGATAGCGTGACGCTGGTCTCTTCCGTCAGCTTGAGAGTGGGTGGAAGTATCCTTGGCTCCGATACCCCTTGTATGCCACGTATCCCATGATTTGCGTCGTCTCCATCAGCAGCAATAATCGTTAGGGATGCGTTTTGGTATATTAACGCCATGCAACGGAGCTGGTGGTGCAAATGGGCTTCATCATCCTGCACTATGCAAAGGGCGTCTACCCAAAGATATCGCTCCTCGATAATGCTGACGATTTTCATGGCATGTTGTATTGTCGCGGGTATGCTGTCCGAGAGCCTCTTCAAGGCTCCCTCCTGTTGTAAGAGAGCAATATTTTCCTTGGTCGCCTTCAGCACCGCAACTTGCCCCCAGACATAACTCAGTGCCACATAACTCTTCGTAATTCCGCCACCGGGAACAAGGCACATTTTCTCAACATCTACTAACCAGCATGGAGAAGTCCTTGGGCAAATGTGTTCATGGCTCTCGTCACGGGCAGCTTTCCAGGACTTGAGCAAGTCGGGATCGATAAAATCACTGTGGCGCACACGGCACTGGACTAAGTAATTCGGATAATAGTAATCCGAAGAACCTGTCGAATCGTCTGGTAGGTCCCTTCTAGAAATCAATATGGCACGTTGGCTGTGGTTATTGCCAGGCGCGTAGTTCTTCCAGGAATCATGTATTGTCGCTTCGATGAATCCTCCGGGTTTGCGTTTGAAAGACAGGGTAAACTTTGACGGGTGGGCTCCCTTGCCCAAACAGTCGTTGATAGCATATTCCAGGAATTGTTGGTGATTCCCGCATGTAGACGTATCCGATATTTCTTCTTTGGTTCCAATGGTCCAACTGACTGGCCCAACCAGCTGGTAGTCGGTAACTTCCAAGGCCATCCGCAGAACCCTACGACATATGCGGCATTGCATGCCCAGTGTGTCGATCTCTTCCTCAATAATGAATATTTCCCGGCCCTCCAAAAGTCTTGGTACGTAAGGAAAGCGACGCAGCGAAGCCATGTTGCTCTTCAGATATATGGAAGCTGCAGTGGCGCCTACAAATAACGGCTTATCAGTCAAATTCTATAGCCGGCATCGAATGAGAATGCTAAGAGAAAGAAAGAAACCAGGAATCGAACCTTAAAGACCAGACTTTCATTTCCAGCTAGGGCTTACTCGTCTCCGAGCCCTGTCAAGCAATACTGTTCACGAGGCAAGCGTAACGCCTGTGAGATGCTGTGAGGAAGTTCGACATTCCAGACAGGTGTTGAAGATGCGAACGGATCTTGAGAACTTGTGGGTTGGGAAGGGAGGGGGGGGAGGGGGTTATGTAGAAGGCGGAAGATGGAGAGAAGAGCAAACGAGAAAGAGGTAGAGCGATCTCTGGTGCAGCGAAGCCCGCGTCTCGAAAAAGGTGCTGTCATTTAGACTATGGCCCGACGTCCAGCCTGTTCGCCTCGGTGGGATAGGAGATTGCACGAGAGCTAGCAAATGCCTCGACGGAGGGGATCCGAGTAAATCGACTGCCGAAATCTCTGTGATACAAGACCGGCATCGTTCCATGCCGCGTAACAGCGCACCTTGTAGGAAAAGAAGCAGACAGGGGAAGAAATGCTTGGTTGGCGGCTTGGTTAGTGGAGGAAAGGAAACGGTGTGCCTGACCACAACGAAATTGAATACTCGGATAATAAAAACTTTGGATGGGGTACATGCACCTTTCTAACGTAACGTCTTGCCACAACAGTTTGCGCAAGGGCAGTATGGTTCGGAGTCAGAAGGCACGATCCGATGAAGAGAGAGAAGGCACGAACCTGTCAGCCCCGTGAGATGAAGGTGTGGGAAATTCATCTCAGACTGTGCAACACATCGACGAACGACTGCGATAGTGGCAAGGAAACACATGGTTAGAAGACACACAGAGCCAACACATATCCAAATATTAACAACTAACGAAGTGAAGGGGAGTCTCTTGGGAATCATCATTCATATGTATTGACAGTTTACGTCTATAGCTTAGCTCTTGGCGGCACCAGCCTTGAAGAGGACGATATCACCATCCTCAACGACGTAATCCTTGCCCTTGGTCATGACCTTGCCCTTGGCCTTGACCTCGGCTTCGTCACCACCGAGCTCCCTGAGGACGTTGTAGTTGTAGACGACAGCCTGGATGAAGGTCTTCTCGAAATCAGTGTGAATGACACCGGCGGCCTGGGGGGCCTTGGTGCCGTTACGGATGGTCCACTGGCGGACCTCATCAGGACCGGTGGTGAAGAAGGAGCCGAGGTTGAGGGCCTTGCGCATCTGGACAATGATCTTGGGCAGAGCGGAGTCGGCGCCAACCTTCTTGCACTCCTCGGCAGCCTCGGCCTCGGTCTCGAAGCGGGTGAGGCGCTCCTCGAAGGAGACGGAGAGGGGAATGATGGGATCACCCTTAGCGTGCTCGTTGATCCAGGCGGCAATCGCGGGAAGATGCTTGTTCTTCTTGCGGATGTAGTCGCGCTCGGAAAGGTTGACGAGGTAGACGACGGGCTTGGCAGTCAGAAGGAAGAGAGGGTTGATGACCTCGATCTGAAATCACACAAAGTTAGCAGATGTTTCGATAACCAATAGCGAAACATGATGCATAGTGATTGATGGAAGGGGTGTCAGGATAAAGTTTTTGTCTCATGTATCCTCATTGAGGAATCGAAGAGCTGGGTTTATAATTCAGGCCTTGGGCCTTTTATCATCATTCAAGGATTGGGGTGTTGTGCAAATGGGGAAATGGTTGCTTACCTCCTTGGGACCCCAGGTGCCCTTGCGGACCTCCTTGCCGTCCTTGAGGTGGGCCAAGATCTTCTCGATAGTGGCCTCTTCCTCCTTCCACTGCTTCATCTGAAGAGACTGACCGCCCTGGCGGGTCTTCTTCTTCTGGTTCTCAAGGGCCTTCTCGACGAACTCGATATCCTTGAGACGAAGCTCCTCGCTGATGATGTCAAGATCACGGGTAGGGTTGACATCACCCTCGACGTGGATAATCTCGGCATCATCGAAAGCACGGACGACCTGGAAGATGGCATCGACGGCGCGAATGTGGGACAAGAAAGCGTTGCCGAGACCAGCACCGGTGGAGGCACCGCGGGTGAGACCGGCGATATCGTAGACAGTCAAGTTGGCAGGGACGCGCGACTTGGGCTGATACTTCTCGCACAGCCAGTCGAAGCGCTCATCGGGGACGATGACGCGGGCCTCCTCGGGGTCGATGGTGGCATAGGGGAAGTTCTGCGCGCGGGTGGGTGTGTTAGTTTCGGGTTATCTTGATCGTCGTCGTCGTCGTCGTCGCGGTCGGGGTCGGGAGCGGGAGCGGGAGGGGGGTCGCTTACGGCAGGGTTACCAAGGTTGCACTTGGTGATGGCCTGGAAGAGCGTGGACTTGCCGACGTTTGCCAGTCCAACCTAGAATCGGCATCGAGAACAGTGTCAGCGGGGTTGGGGGAGATGGAGCCTAACCTAGGCGCAACCCACAATGCCGCTCTTCAGGTTGTTGCCGGGACGGCCCAGGAGGATCTTCTCCTCCACGACCTGCTTCTTGGGAGGCATCTTGTTCCGTTTGCTATAAGAACGGGTGGAGATGTAGACGAAGGTGCAGTCAAGCCCTTTTCTGTTTGGTTGAAGCGAGAGGGGGAAAGAGGCAGAGCGGAAGCTGCGAGAGCTGGAGCTAGCAACAGCTGCTGCGACTTTGGTTCGGAGGAGGGGTAAAGAGGAGGGTTGAGAAGCGAAAAATAGGGATCTGAGCCCTAGGTGAGGAGACGTTTTGACGGTTGCCAGTGGGCTGAAAGGCTTACTACCCCCGCCCAAAAAATACACAACGTTTCGGTAAAAGTGTGAAAAAAAGAAAGAGGAAGGTGAAAGAGGGAACAAGGCAGATCTGCAGCAGCCGCTAAGAAGGACAAGTCAATGTCTCAAAGCCGGCTTCCCTAGGAATTGTTTGGTAATGGTCGATCGCTTGATGGTCCAAGGTTGTTTGAAAGAAAAAGAACAAAAAAAGGGAACAAGAACCAACGTTGTCAATTTGCAAGGACAAGTGGTATTTTGTTTTGGGGGTTTTTCTCGTTTGCGAGAATTGGCTGATCCAAAAAGATCACAGAGGGAAAAGGGCAAATGCAAATTTTTTTTTATCGGCCCTTGTTTGAAAACAACTCCGGCCCGAAGCCAAAAACATGGATCGTGTCAGTCCCGTTTCCAGCTCGACGGGAGTGGGGGGTCTTTTTTTGTCCTGGAAGATCGATTCACCGATTCAGGCCCTCGCCCTGAGCGGGGTGTTCTCACAGGCGGCTTCCCTGCTGTGATGACGCTCTACGACGACCACCCCGGCACCTGTCCGCGCAGCCCTTCGACGCAGCTGCCAGCCGCAAAGGTGCGAGATCTGCACCTACAATGTCATTCATTGACTGCTGCCATCTCGTCCCGTCGTCGTACAGGAAACACCCCAGATGGAGCAAATTGGAAGCATTTCGGGTCGTCATTTAGCCTGTCATTTACGCATTTACATCCTACAGCTACATGCCTTTTCAGACAATACATCCAACATTATCTACGTGTCCATTTTCCATCCTTCATTTTCGCCTGCTGAAAGCGTCCGTGTTCGCAACTGCATCGTTTCCATCGACCTTCGCGATAAGCGCTTATCGAGCGGTTGGGAGCTGAATACGTAGCTCTTTGTCACCAAGGGTCCGAGACCTGTCTTGAATCGCCAACTTCAGGAGCCGCATGCGCCGTATGAAGCAGTGATCGATTCTTCAGCAAAACGACTTTATCTACTTGTTTTCGCCCGTTCGAGGAGTTTCAACACTCCGGTCCCTGGTCCTCCATCTGTCGATCTGAGCGGGGGAGTGCTGCTACGAATCGTCACCATGTCAAGCAAGAAGTCGCACAAGACTGCAAGGCCTCGCCCATCGACCCAGTCAATCCAAAAGACTGAGATCCTCATCAATGTCTACGATCTCCTACCAGTACGTTATCATTCTCTCCGTCTCCCCCATTGCTATGACCGGTACTAACCAGCTCTCTTCCTTCGCTCTTCTAGCCCGGCCGCATCTCCAATACCCTCTGGTTCATCGGAACCTCCCTCCTCCACTCCGGCGTCGTCATCAACGGCCGCGAATACGCCTACGGCGGTCACGCACACCGAGGCAAGACGGGCGTCTACTGGACGGCGCCCCGTACCGAGCCCCCCGGCGGCACCTTCCGGTGTGAGCTCCTGCACGGCTTCACGCTCGCGACACCAGCCGAGATCGACGCCATCATCCGCGAAGTGTCCGAAGAGTTTCTCGGGACCGCCTACAACCTGTTGACAAAAAACTGCAACCACTTCACGTCGCACCTGTGCCAGAAGCTGACGGGGCTTCCAGGGCCGGCATGGCTGAATCGCGCCGCCAGCATCGGCGTGGCTTTACCGTGCGTGGTGCCCAAGGACTGGATCGAGCCGCCCGAATATGATACGACGGACGGCGAGCTGGTTGATGACGTTGATCATGGCGATAGTGGGCGTGGAAACAGTGGGCAACAGGGGCATGGTGGGCGGGACAAGAGAGAGGAGAGGAGGGCGGCGAAAGATGAAAAAAAGAGAGCTGCGAGGGAGGAAGATGAAGAGGAGCTGTTGGCGGACGAGCGATCAAGGATGTTGAGCAGCTCGGGGGAGTCGCCTACGCTTGTGGATCTGGGAAGGGAAAGGGACCGCGAACGGGCAACGACAACATATAATATCGGTAATGACAATGAGAGGGGGGGTGAGGGGCAGTATCGGGATGATGAGGGGGAGGCCGAAAGTGGGAAAGGGAAGGGGAAGGCGGCGGCGGTGGCGGTGGCTAGGAGAGATTCCGCTGGCAGAACGCTACCGCCTGCGGAGAGAGCACCGACTTTTTCTTGAGATCGAGGTGCTGGGATGGGATCACTTCATTCTTATTTGGGGCCAGGTTTCTTTTCTCATTTTTCATGCATCGCTTGGAGTTTTTGGATCGGTGTTTCTGTTCGGGTTTGGTTGTCTTTGGGGGGCTAGCTACGCGCTTCATCAGCTTCTCTTTTCCTATGATACCAATGGCGCATCGTTGCATTCCATCTTGGCCCAGTGAATCCGCTGGACAAGGAGAGCCAGCATTTGCGGGTCTGTCTTCCAGTTCGAGCTGTTTTCTTTATTCTACGCGTTGAGTTGCACTTTGCCTGGGTAATGAATGCCATAGTACTTGTTCTCTACTTCAGCCCCTGGACGAGTGGTCGTAAGGACATACCGAACAGATCCAGTATGATGCACCTTCGATATGCTTCTTGATGCATCACCCCGTCCTCGACATACACGTCAGGCCTACAAAGTCGGCGGCTGACTACCTGCATTTCGAGCTACATAATATGATGTTTACGAAAAGTCAAATCCTACATAGGGTCTTGGTCAGGTATTAACACCCAACCACAACACGTATCGCAAGTCTTTCCGCAGCCTTTTGTGATCTCTCGCGGGAGTACCGTATATTTTTTCCAAATTGGGATCTGGGTAGGTAGGCACAAGACCTATCTGCTTTTTGACACCTTTAACCTTCCCTCATGCCTACCTTCCCAGGTCTCAATTCGCGAGTTTCTTCGGTATGCAAAGCGGCCAACGGATGCCATCATCTCAACCTCGCCATCCAGCCCATCATCCATTCATCGCAACAATGTTTCCAACAACCAGTCCAAAAAAAGAAAAAAAGGTTGAAACATCCCGAAGTTGAGAGTACGAACAAGAGGGCAAAATAAGGAGAAAAATAAAGCAAAAAAGAAAGTGACTGGAGTGGGATTCGAACCCACGCATCTTGCGATACTAGAATGCACCTCACCTTATGAGTGAAGAAGAATTTGGAGTTCTTGAGTCTAGCGCCTTAGACCGCTCGGCCATCCAGCCATTGGAAGATTGTTGAAGTTTTGGTCAGATCCACGAGTTTATATGGAGTCAGTCTTTGGAAGGTCAGCGTACCACCACACAACTAAACAATGAAGAATGCATAACTCTCGACGGGAGATTACAACCAGAGAAGAATGAATGTAAAGAGAGACTGCTAGGTAGGTGTCGACATGGAAACTTGTACAAGTTGACGAGAAAGAAAAGAATTGATGCACGAAACGTGGATGCAAAGAAGTGGAAGGTAGGCACAGGACGGTAACTAGGGTAAGTACATGCATGGCATGAGGGCGACAGCAGCTTGAGGATGGGCGGGATGCATCAACACGCGCATATGCATACTCGCGTTATCATATTGAGCGGCCGAAAGACGGGAATAAACCGAACACGGATAGTCCAATATCGCTCGTAGTGGCTTGTGGGAAAGGCCGTCGCAGAACTGTGATAGGGATCACATTAATTGAGAAGCACATCGATCGGCCAGAGTCTATCAGGGATTTTCCTATGCCAGGAACTGCTTAGGAATTGGGTTCAGAGGGGGTAATAAAGACGCATTGATGCGTGCATAAGAATATTCCGAAGGTGTGATGTATTGGACCGTGGGTATTCTCACGAACATTCGAGGCGGGTGGCCGCGATGCATCAAGCATGAGAGACGCAGAAACATGTTCGACATTGTCGCAGTCTGATCTAGATTCCCTTTGCGAGGGGGGGAGGGTTTGCGAATTATTTCAACATCCCTTGACGCGAGAAAAAAGTACATCTGACCCAAGTTGATTATACCCGATCTTGGATATGCATTAGGAGGATCAGATAGTTAAAGATTGTCACTTTATGTTGAAGACAGGGTAATGCGATTTACATACTTGAGGTAAGTATCTTGCGCATACATATATGTAAGCTCTGGATGGGTTGTAACTTGCATTGTTTGTCGGTTGGAGAAACAAGCATTGCCGACATATGCCAGGCTCCTCTTTTCGGGCGCTCGAGGGGTTTTCAGTTCACTACACAGCATCTTCGACAATGACATAACTGAGGAAGGGGCACAAGACAGCGAGGAAGACCTAGAGTCAAGCTACGAATGATATTGCCAGCGAGACATCGGAAATTTCCTATATCATCACTGGGAATCCAATGGGATTAGGTCGATTATCCTAGATATGGACACATGGTGTAACCAAGCTTCAAAATATCCAACAAGCACCATTCCTTTCTCCATCTGCATAAATACCACTTCTAGACCATCCCCTTTCTTCCCATTCATCCATCCCGTTCTCCCTCTGTTGCAATTCTCAGGGCAATCAAAAAAGAGTCACCTAAGCAACAACCGGCGCAGCAGCACCCTTCCCCTTCAACGGCCCCGCCTCTCCCCTCGCAACCCTCTCATTCCACACAACCATCTGCTCGCAAAACCCATGCAACGTATCCGTCACACCCCGATACCCAATTCCACCCTCCTCCACACTCTTCCTCGCCCTGCTGTCATCGCAAATCGTGTACGCCGACACAGTGAACACAGCCGGCTGCAACATGGCCAGATCGCCGGTGGGCTCCTTCCACCCGAACAGCTTGGTCAGCACAGGGAAGTTGATGATCAGGTTCGCCCAGCCTTCGATCGCGTAGGCCAGGATGAGCATGAGCACGGGAGGCGGGTAGGTCTCGGTGATAGGGGTGAGGGAGAGCGTGCTGATAATGGTGTAGAAGTCGCGGAAGGCGATGGGCGGGCCGGGATCGGTAACGAGGAGAGGGCGGCCGGCGCAGGGTGGGGGGACGGGGCGGACGGAGGGGTTGAGAGCGGCTTCGAAGAGGAGGTGGGCGATGGAGACGTTGCGGGAGGAGATCCAGTTCCTGTTTAGGGTGTCAGTTGAGAATTCAGTGAGTTTGGAGAGGTGGAAGATAGGGTACTGACTGGATGACGTGCGGCGTCCAAGAGACAATGCCACCGGCTTTGAGAGTTGGACCAAACGTTACGTCGTTCTCGACGTCTCCAAAGATGCCGTTGCCGGGACGGACAACGCCGGTACGGAAGCCTTCTTGGTTGGCAGCGCAGACCAGACGTTCGGCTTCAGCCTTGGCGCGACCGTCTGTTTCATTTCACCATTGTCAGCAAGAGTTGTTTACCAGTGTTTCCAGTCAGGCGTGGGATGAGACTTACAGCTGCCAAAGAACTCATCATGAGGCTTCAACGGCTGATCAAAGTCATCCTCGTTGAACACTTGGACATAGTTGCTCGCCAAGCTGGGAAGAGGCCATTTCCAAAACTTCATAGGCTTGACGGCAACGGAGGCCGACGAGGTGGCAATGAAGATGTCAGCGCCGGCCTCCTTGGCAGCAGCCAGGACGTTGGCGGTACCGCCGACGTTTACGCGAGCGACACGGTCATAGGTCTTGATGCTCCGTTCACCGGGACGGATCGCGGCGGCAGTGTGATAGACGGTCAGGGGAAGACTGGCAACAGACGCAGGCCACGGCTTGGAGAAGGCCGCCTTCACAGAGTCGGGCGAGGTGATGTCTGTCTTGATGATGTCGATCTTCCTGGCCACACCAAGAATTTCGGGACGACGAAGAGGAGCAAAGTCAACGATCCGGATGCTCTCCGGGGACTGTCCACGAGCGAGCAAGTGTGCGACGATGTCACCTCCCACAAGACCTATCGTGGCGTGTTAGTTACGGTTACCCCTTTTCATGCTTCTCGGGCACGGGGAATTTCGAGCTGGCATGGCTTGTGAAAACACAAACTGACCGGAACCGCCCACAACGACGTATCGTCTGTCCAACTTGGGTGGGAGGTGTTTCTTGATATCGACGGGGTTCTTCTTGACCCGTTCATATGTCTCCCGCATATACTCCTTAGTCCAGCGGTTGGAATTGGGCGACAGTTTCAGGGCCTCGGGTGGGACCGTTCTCATGGTCCTGTTGACTCCATAGACCCAGAGCGCACCGACGACAACGACTGCAAGGCCCAATGGCCAAAGACTGAGCCCTTCCGCCATGATTTCTCGTGGCTCGTGATGGCCTTGTCGTTGGAGTAACTTGGAGATGTGAGATCCCGCTGCCTGTCTCGAAGGTCGGGATTCTCAAGACGTTGTGCGTCTTGAATAGCAGCCGTGGCAAGCAAACGCAGACGCTCTACTGCTTGCTGCGCACGAAAATGAAGCCGTTGCCGATGTTGTTTAACCAGAGATGAGGATTCACGCTGGTCGTTGCGGTTGCCTCCTCCTTTCATTCATCAATATCCGCGTATCCGCGGCGTTCCTAGCCCAGACTATCTGTCCCCTCAGTAAGCACAGTTACCTGCCCTGTAGGTAGTCTGGGCCTGAACAAGGATCGGCCGCGTAGATCTAGGGGTCGCTACCAGATGGAAAATCCCTGATACCCTTCTGAAGCCGCGGCCCATCCGGACATTGATGCGCTGCAAGTTCTGCTGCCTACGGGCCGAAGGCGCCGTGAAGGTCTAATCCATTGGAGGCAAACATCGGACTTCATTATCACCACATCGCGTTTGAGGTCCGTGGCGTTTTCTGTCATAAAGAAAATGTGATATGAGTGCAAACACAACGAAAAAGAAGTCATGTGGAGAGTAGCGTATACACATTGCTTGCCAAGGACCCCGGATTTCACTTACATGTGTTAACTTGGAGGCAGCATTGCTCTCCCAACGAACTGACTTGACATGGAGGCCACACAAAGGGACGGGGGCGCGTATAGCAAACGACCATCAGAGTATGTCAGTATGTGAAGTGGACTTTTGTCCGAACACAGCGCGCCGATTGCCGATATAGCGCAGTTCAAAGCGTTTTCTCACCTTGTGTGGACTGATAGAAGGTCGTCAGGGACACCGGTGCAAAATGTTTGAATATCAGACGAGGCAGCGCGGCTGTTGGTGATGACTACCATCAAGATTTTTACCATGGCGGTAGGAGTGTGCGCACAAGGGGTTGCAGGGTGTGCACAAACACTCTCCAGGGACCGAGATCATGAAAAACATTTGCCCTTCGTCGCGCTTGTGCTTGTCGCTGTCGCTCGCTCAAACTTGTGCTCGACTGCTCGGCGTTTGGACATTGACGTTGGGCAAGGCGTGGTCTGTCGTCTGTTGCCCCCCGAGATGAGGTTGCAAAACGCTGGAATGCGTCGAGACCAGTCCGGTTCGTCGGATCTTTAGCGCATCTCGGCTTGCGATAGCGAGGTGAACCGTCGCATCAAACTCTCGCCGTTACGAAAATCGCAGGGCGTCCCACTCTCACACAGAGTCGATCACCTAACCATGGGCACATGATTCGTTTGGTCAATTTCTCATGTCCCACAGCAGTCCGCACGGAAATTTGGCGAGAAAAATTTGTATTGGAAATGCCGACCCGACGTTGTGGAATCGCAACCCATCCGGATGATCCAGGTCTGCCAGGGAGAGCGGGAGAGCCGCGGGAGAGAGAGGTTGTACCTTACCAACCATGCAGTGGAAAATGATGGTCGACGGGGAGCTCCTGGTGACGGGAACCGCTCACTGCCGCTGACCTCACCTTTTCTCTCTACGAGCCAATTACGCCCTTTGATTGGTCCACCCGTCACCAGTGCTTTAACACCGCTGTGCGCTGCGTGCCTGCCCGTCTGCACAGCTGCAGCGTCGGAACTTGCCCGATCACCTACCGCCGGGTGGGACCGTATATGATGGACGTGCCTTCCGCCACGTGCATCACGTGTGGAAGTCGAGTCTGAACTGAAGTTGGTGCTGACATTGAACTGCAAGCGACGACGGAAGGAACTCCAAGCGACTCGGACGGTTTCACTGTCGGTCATTGAAGGATTAACGCAACAAAATAATGTGGCTGATGTTGTGGCTTTGTTGGTGTTTTGACATCGTCACATCGATCTCAGCTGGGCAGGCAAGCTGGGCTAAAGACGAGGCTCCACAACTCGATCTACGCAGCGATTGTGACTTGTAGCGGTGACTTTTACGAGACGACACTACTGCCATGTAGAGACACCTCGCCTTCGCGTCTGCGAAAACACTACATATCAGAAATATGAGACTCAAGTAGGTACGGAATGCAACAGTTCGTCCCAAGTTCGTTCGATGGACAATGGAATTGCTTTGACCGCCCGCGCTTGGGCATGACTACAAAGATGCCATGACCATGCCAACCCGCGCGAGAAAAAAGAGGAATGCGGGCGGGTTGTTGGCCAACATTCCCATGCCATCCGAGCAACTCCCAAGCGAAGGGCCATTGGTGCCATTGGTGCCGCATCTGTTATCTTTCTGGTTGGCCCGCGAACCGAACCCATGTCTCTTCGGGATTTCCCTTTCCTGATCCGCATTGATTGGCCTCAAATACACTGTGATGTGACCGCCCAGTCGAACGCCCTGGCCCGCGTCTGATGTCGGGAGTGGAGCGTGGAGGGGGCCTGTGTGGCTTGAAAATGAAGGCCAAGGAGGCCAAGGAGCATGGGCGTGATACAAGTTCTCCCAGATTTTTCTTTGAGAATGAAATGTGACGATGATGCCGCCATCGCAACCAGAAGCCGTCGGTTTCACCCATCGGAGCCATGACGAATCGAGCAGCCGCGTGACCGTGAAAGACGGGGCCAAGGAGACAGGACCGAGGATTCAGGAACAATGTTGTTTTGCATGGGCTCATTTAACCAGCTGCATGCTAGCGTCGGTGCAAATCGGGTTCCTGAACGGCCGCCTCTCCATCGCATCCAGTCTTTGGGGAGTCGCCGGTGGATCGTGAAAAGTGACTTGCCCCACCGCCGAGAACGGGCTCAGGTCTTGGGCGGTCTTGAGCGGTCTTGGATTCAGCGCTCTCGTCCAGTCCGGCAGTCACACCAGCCACAATTCTGCCCACTGTCCAAGAATTGCCAAGCCAGCGTTGCAGCGGATTTGCAGCCAGGCGTTTTGTCCCGTTTTGCAGCGGAGCGCAGTCGGTGTCAGTACTAGCCCATCGTGAGTTCGTGTCGCCCTCTTCCCGCCTCTGAATTTACACCTCTGGCCAGGCCGTGAACGCGCGTGCCGGGAGCCGGGATCTATGACTCTGTGTGTCTGTCCCCGATTTGTATGTACAGCGAGGTACCCAGGCTACAACGTTGACGGTGTGCAACCGTGACCCGGACGCAGCAGGTGGAAAGGCCGAGCTCCAAAAAACTCGCAGCAGCAGGAGCAATTAAACCCGACACTCGTCCTGCGTGCCTTCCCGTTTTGGGCTTCTTTCAAAAAACCGGGGGTGCCTTCCCGTCCCAGAATCGTTTCATTTCAAGTTCTTGTCGACACCGACCGCCGCGGCCTTCCTCTGCAATTAATACTCGCCTCTCCCTTCTTATCTCTCCTCCCTCTCGTCTCTTCTTAGTTCTTCCGTCTGCTTGTTCTGCGAACGCCACATATTCCCCGCCTTCACCCATCTCCCAGATTTTTAATAACTAATCCAAGCAATATCCCGTCCGGGTTTTCCGACATCGATACATAATAGTATCTACCTCACACCACCACCACCACAACAACCTCAAATCATCACACATTCACCTCCCACCGCCAGTCACCATGCGTCAGAACATCATCTTCGTCGCGCTCTCCGCGCTCACCGCTGCCGTCGCCGCCCAGTCGTCCAACAGCAACCTCACCGTCCCCGTCGACTCTGTTGACCCGAACACGAGGAGTATGTAACAGTTCCCAAAAGTCGTGTCACCTTGAGATACTAACGCCGTCCTGTCATTAGACCAGTGGTGTGTTGCCCAGTACAACACCTGCAAGATTCTTTGCGGCATGTCTGTGTCGAGCAACGACTGCGACATCGTATGTTTTCACCACCTGGAGTACCGCTTAAGGAAGCATTACTGACCACAGGTTCCCTCTTTACAGACGACGCTGAAGTACGACTGCACTTGCAGCTCTGGCGATTCCCCGGCTCTTGAGGACTACACTCAGACTGTTCCTACCGTAGGTGTCCCCCGATTTTTGTTCTTGAAGCAAGGTTTCTAACGCGGCGTCCTATAGTTCATGTGCCAGACCGCCTACTCTACCTGCATCACCAACCACGCAAACGATGCCATGGGCCAGGACAAGTGCAAGGCGGACATCTTTGACAAGTGCGGTACCCAGGACCCCAACAAGGCCGTGATCAAGACCAGCTCGTCCGCCGCCCCTGCCTCCACTTCCGCTGCCAAGCCCACCTCGTCCGCCGCCGAGACTTCCGCTGCCGCCGCTTCCTCGACCTCTGCCAGCAGCTTTGCTGCTCCCACCAACGCTGCTGCCTTCCTCGGCAACGGCGTTGCTGCTGTCGCTGCCGGTGTCTTCGCCGCTGCCCTTCTCTAAAGCGGTGCAGCGTATGAAGGAATGACGGACGTTTAGTACCTCGTTGCTTTCCAAAAGTTTACTTTTAGGTTTGCTTTAGATGCGACGGCGTTGACGGTTATTTTCAGTTCTTTGTATCCACCCAAAGGGACCCTCTAGGAAGGCTTATCTGGTCCGGCCGGGGACCGACCAGATGATCAGGCATACATCGCGGCGGCAGCATCCACCTTGGACACAAGGCAACAAGTTGAAGGGAAGCATTAATACGTACGCAGACCGCTTGATGAGAGGAGGTCAGGTGTGGTTGACAGAGCAGAAATGGGCAATTTAACGCATAATTTCGGTGGCAGGAAAGTACATGAGGGGTCTTGTACGCGCGTGGTTTGGTGCCCGTTTGGTTTGAGGATGAGAGACAGTCAAATACCCTTTATCTTAATTCATAGTTGTGACCCTCTATCCTTTGTTTGAACCTCATTGTGAGTGCCGTGTCTTGAAAGCTGAGGAAATGGGATATAAATAAGTAAGTCAGTCCTCTTTGGCTCGCTTTGTCGGCAACTGGTTGTTTATACAGCCCTTTGTCTGCTTTGAGTTTTTGCTGATAGAACTCTTTGGACAGGACCATACTTAGCAGAGATGGGGGTTGTTTTAAAACAATGCGATTGTGAAAATAGAATTTCTATTTTCTGGCCCGCTTTGTCAGTAACTGATTGTTGATACAGCCCTTTGTCTGCCTTGGGTTGTTGCTGATAGGACTCTTTGGACAGGACCGTACTTAGCAGAGAGGCTGATTGCTTTTAAACAATCCGATTGTCAACATAGCATCTCTGTTCATACCTGCTTGTTGTTTGATCATCTTGTTTCGATCTTTGAAAAAAGTCACATACCTTGACAAGTGCCATAACGGCTAATATATACTCACAACGAAAAAATGCCACCTAAAAGAAGAGCAAACGGAGCGGCCCCCGGCCAACCAGCCGCCCAGAGACAACGATTAGCACCAGCAGCTCCCGCTCCCGCTCCCGGCCCCCCTCCTCCTCCTCCTCCTCCTCCTCCTCCTGCCCCAGGCTCCAGGTCATTCGCTGAACTTCCGGATGAGATCAAAACGCAGATTGTGATCCACTCCCTGAGCATCTTCGACAATATATGCGCTTTCCGGCTGTTCTGCTCAGGCTGGAGGATCTGCAATTGGTCGCGAGGAGAACCCCAACTCGACGAAATCTTGAGGAAGCTAAGAGTGGACGTGTACAAGCCAGCGCCAGAAACACTGGGAGTGCAGTTAGGGGAGGGAGAAGAACAGTATTTTGGAGAGTTGGAGAGTTGGTTTGCGGGACACTCGAGGAGAAAAGTGCAGTGTCCACTCTTTCAGGAGGGTGCACATGGATTTGATAACAGACACTGTGAACAGTGCGGATGCGTTCCGTTTGAAAAGGAGGTGCTGTTGGAGGGCGGTGCGGCGTGGGATATGGAATGGGAGGGGAGGTTCGATCCATACGCAAGGGGGCGGGGAGGGGTTTGGACTGGGAGGCTTAGGGAGGGCATGGCTTATCGTCCAAATGAGCCATGGAACCGATTGGTTAAGCCGGCGGAGGAGACGGGTATCCATGCCTACTTGAACAGTATAAGGAATACGAGGTACGGGAGGTTTTTGACGAGGGAGGTGAAGAGGGAGAGAGCGCTTAGGCCCGACAGGTTGATCGTTTTGCAACAAAGGCCGTGGAAGTGGCTCGGAAGATTCACGGAAAGAGGGTTGGGAAGACGGGTGCGTAGCGGGCTCGAGGGGACGATCACTTGGGGAAATGAAATGGTCGGATTCTTGCCTTTCATCGAAGGGTTCACGGAGAGGTTTGACGACAACGGTTATTTGAGGGTGGCCACCGGTGCGCCGGCGTCCACGGCTGCTGCCGCTGCCATCAAAGCCAGACCCTTTGACCAGGTAAAGAAGCATCTCTCCCCAGAACCCCCTAACCAGGAGCCGTGGTTTCTATACAGACATATCCGCCATCTCATGATCACCAGCAATCCCTGTCTCAATTTTACTACAGGTATTGACTACGAGCGTTTCGGTACCATTCCTCCCACAGACCCACCGGTAGGCACGGTGCTGGCTAATATGACAGCGGTCCAAGGCCGTGTGTTTTTCGAGCACATGGTGCCATTGTACGTTGACTACCAGGCCTTGACAAATCTCGAGACACTCTACCTCGACTTGAGGAACATTAGAAAACGCAGCAGCGGCACCACGCTGTTCCAGATGAGAGAGGTATTACAGCTGGCTCGAAGGCTCGAAGGAAAGAACCTGCGATTGCTCGTCATTGCAGGCCTGCGAACTCATGGGGCGGCTTGGTGGGGGGAGAGAGAGCTGGACATCGAGGAAATCGAGGGAATGGAGGAGCAGAATCCCGGGGACTGGGATGATGTCAACTGGCTTGTGGAATTTAGGAGGGCGTTGAGGCCCGGGGGAAAGCTGATTCTGGTTGACGCGCATTCTCATCATTTTCCTCGCAATCGATATCGGCCATGGATAAATCCGCGGAACGATCCTGGGGCCACGCCACATGCCGTTAACGGTCTTATAGGTATGGGTGGGTTCCCAGCTTTTCTTAACAATTTCATTGACAACGAAGCCAACAACAACGAAGTCAACGACGACGAAGTCGACGACGACGAAGGTAACGACCCAATGGAGGAATTTTCGGAGGAAATGACAGCATCGGAGGAAGCAACATCGGAGGAAGCATCATCGGAGGATTGGTAGCATGTCACCCCCTACCCGAAGCACCCAAGAAAGAGAGTCTGGCTTAAGATACAACAAAGGCAACAACAACGACGACAACAATCGTCATAATGCGTAGCATATATTACATAGAAGGTTGGAAAGGTCAAGCAGCAGTCTAGTTAGCGGTATATACAATCAATGACAACATCAGGATGTTAGATGAGGATATTGCTTGTAAAATGAGAGAGAAGCAAAAATTCCGTACGTAGACAAAGTGACTGAACAAAGGCTGACATAAACGTGGACTGTCACCCTGACTGATGTACTTGGTGATCGTCGTGTGTCTGCTCCATGTATCGTTGAATGGATGGTAATCCTGGTGGTGATCAGTCAACGTCAACCATAGTGTTTTCTTGAGACAGGGAAGCTCTCTGTCTCTAATAAGAAGGCAGACAACTACAGAGTTGCCGTAACAGTTCAGGTCGAGCGTTTTGCGCAGGTAACCGCGCAGTGCAATTTACAAGCCCATGGACATAGGTTCGTGGTTCGTCAACCACAGCTTTTCGGGTTCCTGTTCCTGAGTTTGACATCCCGATCCCGAAATGATAGGCACCATACATAACAGGCACACCATGTGCAGATACTTTCGGGAGCCAGGGCGACCAATGACCATCAACTTTTGAATTCTCAATGGTCCATATACCAGAATTGATCTCGAACATGGATGCCGTATGACTTCTGGAGGTTCAACTATCAATATGTGACAGGTGCCATGCAATGCGGGGAACAGCTTTGTTCAACCCCAGTGTTTAAATATCTTGAGGTCAGACAAGATACCCAACCCTCGCTTCGGGTTCGAGTTCCGCATGGTCAGTTTTCGAGTGAGTGCCTGACTAGGTCGTCCGGTCCATTCTCAAAGCCTGAGTGTGGATGCCCAAGATGAATAAGAGAATCGGGTCGGGTCGGTGGTGGTCGTCGAAATGGAAAATGGTGCATCGAACATCGACGCGATAACCAGGGCGACCTTTCTCGTCCATGACCTAGGTCAGGGCCGTTTGGCGTGGACCGATTGGCTGTGGTGATGCCACTGGCCAACGCCGTCAAGGAATCTGCATCCTGCAATGCTCATTGGCCAGCCGATCATATGGGTGTCTTTCCATTTGCGGTGGTGTGGGTTGGCAGTTGCTGAAGGTGCGTCGCCAGTCGCTCCTGCCTTGGTGGCAACCACTCGTGAGAAATCACTGCAGTCGCACTTTGGGTCATTTGGACCACTTGGAGAGAGAGGTGCCTGCCTTGCTTTACGTGCCTTCCACTTGCGACGAGTCAAGCCTGCATTTTACTCACTCAGGCTGGCAGCGGTGCCGGGCATCTATCGGCTATCGACGTCCCTCCGACTTCCAAAACCTTCGCCGTCTTCCATCCCGAGTCCACGGTGCCAGGTTGGGTCGAGGTCCAAAATGCGTACCATACGCCCCTCTGACCCCTCGTCTGAACTTTGCCTTCACCTTCATTCACTCCTTGCCCCAGACAGTGCTCGGGTTTGCTTTACGACACACAGGCTCTCTCACTCTTCTTCCTTCACGCCCCGGTCCTCCTCGTGAAACCATACTTCGCCGGCTGACAAAGACAAGCCGCCGCTTACATTCCTCACCATAACCTCACCTCAACCTCACCTCTAGGGACGTCACGCATCTCAATAAAATCCCGGTAATCAAGCGACACACAGCAGTTGTGATGGAAAAAAGTTGCCTACAGCCGTCGCAAGGAGTTGTGGTTCGTTATGGCGCCTAGCAAGGACTCAAAGCGGGGCTTGAGAACCCCAGAAAGCAACATCAACAATAGTAATACGTCGAATGCCAACGGAGGAGGCGGCAATGCCAGCAGAGACTTTCGCCATCCCGGCCTTTTCTTGCCTCTCTTCGGCTTGCGCCTTTCTCCCCGCCATAAGCGCCATATCGCGACCGAGCGGGATCGCATACTGTCGGACCTTGATCGACACTCACACCTACGCCGTGGGCGGACGTCGCCCCCAGCATCTTCTGTGGACGTCGAGCTGAAGCCTTTGGATGATCGACAACCGAACATGAAGTTCGCTCTGCGGCCCGGTTCTGCAGTCGCTAAGCTCGAACAGCTCATCCGGCGCCGTTATCAAGACAAGGGCCATCCTATCGCCTCAGCTGCTCACTTCGCTTTTTATCTGGACGGCAAATTACTCAATCCTGAGCATGTGCTCCCTCCCACGCCTTCCAAGATCTGGTACCGCATGTCCAGGTCTTCTGCCGAGGTTGACCAGTGGAAGTTTAGTCAGTACAAGGATGCGAACAACCAGCCAATTCCTCCAGAGCTTGCAACTCAACTCGTTCAGGCAATCGATACAGGCGCCACGGTAGGCGAGTTGAGACGCAAAATTGCGACTTTTATGTCCATCTCCGATCCGGACAGGGTCTTGCTGGTGGCCCGAGGCGGAACACGACCTGGTCAATTGCAGGGAGACAGCTGGGTGGTCTCTGAAGTCAAGCGACACTGGCTTTGTTGTTGGATTAGTTATCACATTGCGCGGACGAACGCATATGCTGTGATCAATGGCCTGGGAAGGCGCTACCTCTATCATCCCGAGTCGCATTACTTCTACGACGGCATGAGTGTTAGGCGCTGGCAGCATCACCTTGATACTCGCCTGTTTCGGAATGTCCGCTCACGGGGGAAGACTGGTTTCAATGCCCACTGGTCAGAGCTCATTTTGACGCTCGACGATACGCGTGTCAGTAAGACTACACGCGTTTGTTGGGGGAAAACGTATGAGGTCGAACTTCCCGGCCAGACAGCCAAAATCTTTTCGACCGAGGAGGCTTGGCTCCTACCCGACGAGACCTGCAGCGTCTGCCTTGACAGCAAGAATTTGAGCCTCATGGCATACAAGATTACATCTGGATGCGAGCACAAACCAACTATTTGCAATGCTTGTTTGGGTCAGTGGATCGCCTCGGAGCTGGAGACCAAGATGTGGAATCGGATTAAGTGTCCAGAGTGTCCCAAACCTCTTCAGTTCGCAGATGTCAAGAGAAACGCATCAAAAAGCGTTTTCAAACGGTATGATGAGCTGGCTACCCGCGCAGCCCTCGGAAACATTCCCAATTTCCGATGGTGCAAATCAGCCAAGTGTAGCTCCGGCCAGATAGACGATGTCAGATGCGTGCGCTTCAAGTGCAAGGCCTGTAAGACATCACATTGCATTAAGCACGACGTACCCTGGCACTCTGGCGAAACATGCGAGGAGTATGACAAGCGCAACATCCAAAAGAAGAAAGACGAAAGGGCATCCGAGGCAGAGATCACCAAATCTAGCAAAAAGTGCCCATCGTGCAACAAGGCCGTCCACAAGTTTTCTGGTTGCAATCATATCACCTGTAAGTTCAATTTATTATGCTCACTCTGCTCATCTTTCTGGGTAACCGGTTACTGACTGTATTTTTTTTTAAACAGGTATCTGTTCTCACGAATGGTGCTACATATGCCTCGCCCCGTTCCAGCGAAACGAACACGGCTTTCTCTATTGTCGTCACAAACCCGAGTGTACGGAGCGGGATCCATTCGTCGACCTGATAGACCCCCAGAATGCGAACGCCGACCCCCGGACGTTTTTCGAAGCCGCCAACCACGGGTTATTCCCGCCACAATTTCTCAGAAACCGCCTCCGAGTTGTTCGTGGCAGAGCTGCCCGACACCATCTTGGGGCCGGAGCCAACGAACCAGGCCCGGGGCAAATGGGGCGTGAACCTATCCGCCTTCACCCCGACATGTTTCTCCCCCCTTGGATCCAGGAAGTAGACCAAGGGATGTTTGCGGGTGTTGCCGGTATCGCGGATCATGTTGCGAACGGTAACGGTAATGGTCGCGACCCCATGCATGATCTGAGGTTGTTGGCGCAAGATATGAGGGTAGCACGGAGAGAGCGGGCTTAGGTACTCCTTCTCGACGAACCTGGACTTAAACGCATACAACATCAATCTCCATAGCTTCAGTGCCATGATCCTTGCCTCTCCAGATATGTGGGCGGCGTTCGTTGCCTATGAATGGACGCGCAGGACTGGTCATCCTCATCCGCCCCCTCCTGGACCCGAAGGAGCTCGCGACAATGATTTCGACGAAGAGTTTTCTGAAATAATGTGGGACTTATGGTTCGACATTGTTGAAGAGAGTGAATTGATGGAAGATGATGATGAACCGGTGTTCTTTGGCCCACCTCGACCTCCGGCTTGGTTTCATTGGGTGGCTGGCCACGGCGAGCCGCCAGTCTTCCCAGCTGGTCTTCTACCTATTGGTAGCGAATTCCAGGTGGATGACCTTCTTTGGGACGGCGCATTCCTGATTCTCCCTCAGGGTCCCGTCCCTGAGCCACGCGATGTCGATGATTCAAGCGGTCCTTTCTGGGCTCCTCCCTCAGTGACCCCCCGTCAACATCATTTCCTCCCCAGAGAACATCGGACACGCGATGAAGACGAACTCTCCTTGCAAATGCTAGAAGAGGGCACAGCTGAAAACCGAGTTATTGATCCTCTGGACAACCTCTTATTGGATCGCCCCCCATGGGCTCCTGACTTCCCTCCCCCTCCTCGAGCGACGATCCGTGATGTGGTGAATTTGGTCGAGTCAGAACCCCCGCTTCCTCCTCCAGGCTGGCAAACTGCGCTCACCCTCCTTCGACCCTGGTTTCACGAAGCGCCGTGGAGATTGGAGCCCGTGACCCATATTCCCGAGCACATTATCGGGCAAGATGAGCTAGGGCTGTGGGTCGATGATGCTGTGGAGGTTCTGATCAGGCGCAACAGGACGCTGCTGCAGTTTATTAACTTTGATATTCGTCAGGAAATGACTGCTGCACTAGACGTACCTCGAGCTTGAGACATGCGTTGAGAAGCGAAGCTAAGCAGCCTTGTGTGTGGATTGAGGCGTCCATCAAGATGGGAATTACGATCGTAACCAGCATAGCCTATATGGCATCGCAACAACGGCATGTCAAACTTGTAACTGTTTGCGAGTGTTATTACTTGAGCTTTACCCCTTTAGGTCAGGTAGCGAATGATGGACATCAAGTAAGGCTTTGACCGAACGGAGTCCTTGTCCTTGTCCACAACCATTTGAAGGATGGGAACTTGTATCTTGGTGCCAAAGAATATCAATGTGGGGGGTCTTGTAAATATGTTTTATTCTCCCGGGTTGGAGCACACTGGGGATACTGTGTCATATGCTCCTGGGATGTATAATAACCTTTGGTGGCACATACTGAGCACTACTTGGAGTGCAAGATCTGGGCGATCGACCAAGAGACGTCCTATGCTTCAGTACATAACTTAGCCATAACTTATATCGTCGTCCAGTTAGATATGTGTAATATTCATCGCAATCCGAAACCTAACCATCGCCTTCACCTTGACTAAGCCGAATGGACATGATGACCGCAATCACTCACACGCAACGTGTCCATCCGCTATATACGTGAACGTACATAAACCCCTGTTTTCCGGTTGATGTGTGCACTTCACGCCATGGCAAAAGCGGAACCTCGAATATACCCCGGGGTTCAAGATGTGGTCACGCAATAGGTAACTTTCTCGACCCAAAACTCCAAACCCCCCACCACGATCAAACACCTATGATTCCACATCCTCCTTTATAGGCATATGAGCAGAGCCAAATAATCACATACAACCATACCCACTGGAAAACTCGGGATCCCGTCCGCTCTCCCATAGATAAGCCAGTGAGGGCCAGACTAGTAGTTGGGTCGGTGACGACCAGCGAATCCCTGGTGTTGTATGTTTTTTTCTTCTTCTTTTTTTTCCTAATCTTTTGCTTCATATCTTTTTACCATCTTCATTTCATGGTCTCAGATGTGTCCTGTCTGGTCCGTGTCCTTTCTTCCTTTTTTTTTTCTCTCCTCGTGGTGGATATGTGTCGGCTGTTGACGAGGTTTGAGGGAGTTGCGGTTCTTGGCTTTGGGTCTTAACGCGCGTTCTTATGATGATGGGGCTTCTCCCGAATGTGTGAATCAAATCTTGAAAAAAAAAAAAAAAAAAATTTATCTGGTCGTTGAAGGGCTTTGCTGCGGAAAGGACACTGGTGGATATCACGCTCACGAACGCTCCGAGTGGGAAGTGTCCTGGTAGAGGTAGGAAGGATTGAGAGGTTTCTACCACGTGGAGAGAAAACAAAAATCAAAATAACACTCCTCTATCATTATAACCGCGCTATTCTGTTCTTTTCAGTTGCAATTTTGAGCATTTCTAGAGTGGGTTAAAGGGGCAAATAGAGGAGTGTCGAAGGTGAGTTCTCGCTGCGTTTCGTTCATAGCCTGGCGGCCCTTTCCGTGTCAGTGGTGGGCCGGAAAGAGAGAAAGCCGCAGCATTGCATCACATCCATCGTCTTGCGCAAAAAGGCTGTCAAACTTGATGATGGTTTGACGAATTTATTTGGTGAGAGATGCCGACGGTAGGAACCGCTGCAAGGGATTTTCTCGAGGCGACGACGCGTCGCGACATACCGTCTTATGTTTCAACGCATTTGGTCGTAGAAATGGCACTCGTAGATGTTCCACTTGCCCGCAAGCGGCCTTGGTAAATCTGGAATCCGCCGTTGAGAAGTGGAACTGTATCTCCCGACGGACGATTTGTTTGGTAGGTGCTGAGGGGAGGGTGGACTTGTGGATTTTCCAAGGAAGGAAAGCAGGTTGTCGGAAGGATTGTGCCTTCCCTAGTACCCGTGATGAAGTGTCAAAGATTTTCACTTGTAGAAGGCGTGACCCGACGGATTCAGGTTGTTTGACAGCCTTGTGCTACCTGCTCCCTGCCGAATGACGGAAGCAGCTTCATGTATGATCTCAGCCGCTGAACATCGCCCGGACGTAACACCTTGGTCAACTATCAATCAAACGTATAGTTCAGCTTTACAAACACCATTTGAACCATCTGTTTTGCGTATATGGCGACAACTCTTCTTAATTTACCACAACATCCCTTGCTCATCAAACACGGATGTATGTGTGCCCTGTACAAGTACCGCAGGCACATGCCACGGCTTGTTTGGTAGCACGGTATTCGGATAAAGAAATGCTTCTATCCCTACAAAACCAAGAATGATGATGGTGATACCGTTGTCAAGGTTTCAAAGAATCATGGAGTTCTTTCAGATTGCATCCAGTTCTAAATGTTTATGTTCTCCTTTCATAGAGCTGGACTTCCCTGGCAAGTCCGCCAGCTCCCTTCTTCCAGTACTTCTTCCTTACTTATCTCTACTTCATATCATCCAACCGCCAGTCCTATCCATATACTCTGATTTGAGAGATGAAGCACACTTTCTCTGCTGCCTTTACGGCCCTTCTCCTGCTTATCCTGACGGCTTGCGGTACTACGGCCGCCCCAACCAAAGAATCAACCAAAAAGCCTTTCTCCTTCGCCTCATGGGTTGACGATCTTTCCCGCCCTGACATCGTTGCTCTAACGCCTGAACAGGCTCTCGAGGCCTATAACGCTTCTCGACACAGCGCCGTTTCCAAACGGGAGGGGGCCGGGGGCGTTTCCAAACGGTGGCCCGAAGGGTTAGGCATGTGCTTTCCTTCAGACATGCACGCTCCGGCTGACGATGCAGTTGCAATCATTGCTCTATTCGTAGAGAAGGGTCAGGAAAAAGTAACTCTCCGACAGGACCCATCCGGGTTCAGAAATGTGATCGGTGTGCATGGGCAGCTCACAGTAGACGCTTACTGTTATAGAGGTGGTCGTAATCAGTGGATGTGCCCTGAGCGTACTGTAACTTGGTGAGTGTCGAATGCCTCTTCTTTTTCTTCTTCTTCTTCTTCTTTCACCATCTGTTTTGTTTCCGTCTTCCTATACCTCCGTGCTCCGTCTTACTTGCTCAAACCACCTACACGCCCACTGATCACCTGAACTTTAAAGAAAAGGCAGGTTTGACAACTTTAAAACTAACATTCATCATTCTATCTGAACAGCCTCATTGTTGCCCAAGCCGTGGGCCACCTCATGGATTCTTGCACCTGGGACAACAGTGTAGGGGGAAGTTATTGGGTTCTCGACAGGGAACTTTTCCTAAACGTCTGGGATGGCGCATTCTTAAGCGTTGAGAATTCCTAACTGCTATTGCGGATGACAGCCGATACCTCTTCCACGTTATGGACAGCGAGTTTAAAACTTCATTGTCGGCATCCGGTCATCGATCTGGTAAAACATGGCGAGGCCGTTCAAAGCGGTGGGCTCATCGGAGTCGGACTATGTCGGTGTCGGACGTCTGCGCTGTCACGGGATCTGCAGTACCCGGAATACAAACAACTGGGCGTTGTAGGCACGGAAACTAGGAAAATTAAATAGGTGCTATGAGCAGTTGGCAAACCTACATCAGACTTGAGAGAGCCTGTTTTCTTTTCCCAGACACTTGCCAGCCAAACCCATAGTATCAGGGAGGATCGGTACCCAACTCCAGCTTCTCAGGAACTTCACAAAAGTAGCACGGGGTGCAGACGTAGGGCAAGCCACACGCCACAAGCCAAAGTCAAGTCAGCAGCCTCTTTGCCTCCTTTCTTTCGCTCCAAGAACTAAATGCGAGAGTAACATTTGTCTCTTCGGAGAGAAAAATTCCTTCCTACATGCATTTTCTGCGGTGCAAGTCGATGAGTCTTAGGGACAGGGCGTGTGAATAGCGAAATCCCAAGGAGATAAGCGGATGAAGCTGCAGGGCACCCTTCGATGCGCCTCTGTGCTTGGCGAGCTGGCCATCGGGGTCCCCGGGCCCCCTTGCGGCTCCCGCGTTTTGCTCATCCCGCATCGCCCCCGCTCTAAGCCGTGCATCACCAACTGCATCCGAACTGCATCCGGTCGGCGGCGTCGGATTTATGCCCCACTTTTAAGACCGGAGCCACGGAGCCGGCTACCGTGTAAACTCGGGATACTGGGATCTGGAGGGTCAGTTATGGGCGACATTTTTATGCCGTGAGGGTACCTAGGCATAATATGTCCCCTTTATGGCGATCTGTAATTTTTTTTTCACTGTAGCAAAAATATTTCTCTGTGTAGGTAGATGAATCTTGGAGGGGGCTGAGGCAGAGATAAAATAAATATGTTGCATAAATTTTGTTCGGGCATATATTCTGCAGTATGTGCTTCTCATTCTACATACCTGTGCATACTTCGATCTTTGGATGCCTGGTTCCTGTGATTGTACGGTAGCAGAATAAATATCGGAAACAACAACAATTTTCACTGCATCTCGACACGTTGTAAATTCGCACGCCAAAACGGACCACACGGGCTTGATGAGATACATGTCGCCCCCATGGTCAAAGAATTCTGTGTTGAGATGCAGCATCACTTCCATGATCTCCGATGCCCATAGATGCTCTCGTCGGATGCAGTACCGTGACGCCGCCAGATTGCGCAACTGTCGGACTTGGTAAATGATGCCTTTCTGCAAAGGTTCATCCAGCGCGCCTTGCGTAGTGGCGGTCCCCGTGATCGTTTATTCGAATTTCTTCGGTCGTGTTAATATAAATACTGAACTTTCTCCCCGTCTAACCCAGTTTTCTTTTTCTCCATCTTCTCTCACATCAACTTCTCTCTCAACTCCAAACAGACCTTACTGTCTACCATCACTCAAATCTCGCTCTCAGATTTTTGCTCTCTAGCAGACCTGACACCCTCAAACAACAAAAACAACGACAAAAATGTCTAACCAAACTAATATCAAGACGACTGAGTCTCTTACTAGCCAGTCGAACACTGGGTCTCTTACTAGCCAGTCGAACACTGAGTCTCTTACTAGCCAGTCGGACACCACTGAGTCTCTTACTAGCCAGTCGGACACTGAGTCTCTTACTAGCCAGTCGGACACCACTGAGTCTCTTACTAGCCAGTCGGACACTGTCATCACGGCTTCATCATCTTCAGAGGTACTTTCCCATTCCCATTCTGTTCTCTCACATGCAAACCAACCTTTGCTGACGATCACCACCCCTCCCAAGACCAACCACAACGACCGACCCATCCGCAAGGAAACCAATCTCTGGCCCAAAGTGAAGGAATACCTGCTCTCCCGCGCCGAATTGGAAACGGACCCCCACACCGTCACCCCGCGCCCCATGTGCGCCCTCTGCGACGAAAACGAGCTCGACATCGCCGGCGTCCTGGCCACCGACATCACCTCAGTCCGCTTCGATGGTGCCGTGCTGCCCTGCAGCCACATGTTCTGCATCCCGTGCCTCAACGAATACGAGGACAACCTCCCGGACCCCAACCCCTACGACGCCGTCTACAACCCCGTCTGCGGCCGCCGCAAGCTCACCCGCGAGTACAAGTGCCCGGCGTGCCGTGCCGACATGCACCACAGGAAGTGCTGGTGCGAGGTCGGGGCTTGCAACCTTCCTTCGTATGACCTTCTCGACGGCGGAGTTGCCGAGTCCGGCGGACAGTGGGTGCCCAAAATGCTGCACCCCGGAGAGAGAAACCAGGAGGAGATCGAGGTCTTGGAGTGGGTCGATCATGACCCTGCCGTTATGGATTTTGAGACTCGCCTGAAGCTCGTGGAGTTGGTGAACGCCGTGCCGACTACCATGCCGGAGTGGGAGGCTGCTGTAGAGGTAGGCTGGGCTGCTGCTACCTCCGAGAACAATGACGACGACGACGACGACGACGATGAGCTTGAACAACACGAAACCATCACAGAACATCAAAAAACGTCCGGGGAACTTAACACTCGCCCCGTCGGCATTACCATTTCCAACGATGCTGATTTGAACGGCAAAATCTACCCCATCATTTTATGGAATCAGGCGATTACGCCTGTGTGCCCGAAATGCGATCGCGAGAGACTGCTCAGATTTGCCTCTGCAATGTTCCCTGTGCTTGAGGAAATGCCTGATTGGTTTAGGCACCGCGGGGTGCAGAAGACGGAGAAGTAAATGTATCCTCGTGCGAGGTACTAGATGGAACCGAACGGGTTAGTGTTTTGAACGAGGATGTTTTGGGCAAGAAGGAAGTGTTTTGGATCACGGGTGGATTTGGTTATCTCTCTTACTGGTTCGCCTAATGGGCCCTCTGAGAGTTTGAAGGAATTTTTCGAGAAGAAAGGAAATGTTTGGGATTATCTGCGAATTTGGTTATCTCTCTTACTGGTTTCGCCTAATGGGCCCTCTGAGAAGTTTGAAGGAATATCGAGAAGAAAGGAAATGTTTGGGATTATTATCTGTGAATTTGGTTATCTCTCCTACTGGTTCGCCATATGGGCCCCTTCGAGAGTTGGTATCATGACAGAATGGCTGGATATTGAGGGAGGATTATGGACGGGGAATGATTGATTTTTTTTTTGACGGATATGCAATAGATTGGCGCAGACAGACATGGGAAGGCGCGAGCCGAACCGCGGATTACGAGGGTCATGATGCTTAAAGTTTTTCTTTCTGAACCCAGTACTGCATATCGGCTTGGACAAGACTACCAAAACCATAGCGCTTGGGTCAATTTGACAGGGACAGGAAAAATCATTTCCTTTTTTCACAACCAAAACATCTTGTGCGCATTTGATCGTCATGTGATTAGGTCAATCGGGTGTTGATGCAATGCTCAGACTGCCTTGCTCCTTCCTTGACAAGTAGCTGCATTAGATACACAAAACGAGTCGATTGAGATAAATTTCTGGTATGCCTTTTACAAACTTGCTCGTCCTCAACAACCTTTCCCCCACTCCAACTTGAATCGTGAGGCTTTATCGTACCACATCCCAAATAAAGTTGGGTTGACATCAACGAGCAAACTGAACCGTAGAACCCCACAACTCTGAGAGTGAACAACGGTAATAAATTAAGAAAATTGTCTAAATACAGCAGATCCAGCCAGGGTTCTACCTCCTCATGTTCTCTCTTTCCATTCATCTCAAAATATGGTCATTTAATCAACGAGTGTCCCTCCCCCCCTCAATCCCCAGGCAAGCAGTCACAACTTTCCAAAACGGATACATATGTCTGTGATATTATGGGTAATAATCGATATGGGGTTCAACGTGGCTTGATTGTGTGTATGTGTGTAAGACTGGCTCTGCAGACTCGAAGCTCTGGCATCTGGATAAATCCCGCATATTCCAGCCTAATTGGGCACGTACACGCCTAATAGATCCCCTAGCCTCTGACACACCCCCTTAGATCTGGTGTACAAACTACGCTAGATCTACCTAGATATACCCTAAAATACCCTAAAATCCTCCTAAAACTAACTAGAAATAATATTATTCCTAAATTACTTCCTTGTTACAATAGCTTTTAAGCTTTTATTCGTAAGAGTCTTGCTTTATTATATTTACTATTATACTTGCCGATTTATTGCCCGAATCCTCCTCTATAGAGTCCTCTATACCCTTTGGGCGGTTTATAGTAATATTTCCGCTACTAAATTTTCGCAATTGAGTTTATAGCCGTTATAATTCTACGAGCCCTAATTACTCTATAGACTTTAGATATATTACGGGAAGGAGGCTTTTAGTAAAGCTATTTACAATCTATTCTTTAATTAGTACGTAGATTATATTTACTAATTTCCTTTCCTACGCTTATTTTAACTAATATTTATATATATCGACGTATTTAAGCTTAATTACGAGCCGAACTCCCTCCTTTATAATAAATTGTATTATTTATTTATTATTATAGTCTATAGGCGTAGCCTCTTAATTTTCGAACCTTAGGTTAAGTTTATTAAAAAGACGGCGAATATAAATAGCCTCTTTAGCTCTTTAATTAAAGGATAGTAATTTGGCCTCTATAAATAAGGTTATAATTGTATTTTATTTATTAGTTCGCTAATCGATTGTAGCGCTTAGAAATTTAAATATAAACGCTTATAAATTCTTTTAATTAAGAGAATTATTGATAAATAAAGAATTAATTATAATATAAAAATTCTAACGGTCTTTATTATTTAATTAAAGGGCGTATTTTTGAATTGTAAGAAGGTAGAATAATATTCGATTTATAACTGTATAATATATTAAATTAGGATTTAAATTAAATCGAGTAAGCTTAGAGATTAGGAAAGTTACGTCTAGTTGCGACGTAATAACGATATAGAGAATCGAACTAATTTTGATTTAATACGCGTAAATTTTATATGGGGCTATACTATTTTAATAAGGTAGGAATTCCTGTTTAATTATAAGCGTAAAATATAGTTTCTTAATACGTTTAACCCTCTCTGTAATCTTCTAAATATAATTATACTATAATAATTAAATTAGTTTCTTCTTTCGGTTTTGAATAATTTTAATGCTCAAAAATTATTTTAGTAGCTCTCTACCCATTAATTAATACTTCCTTTCTATAGTAGCTACTACTTCCTTAGTTATAGTAATTTCCTTATTCCTATATTTATAAGTAATAATAATATTGTTGACGTAGAAGAAGAAGAATACGTTATCTTTAATTAGGATATTAAATTCTATAGGGAGAGGGTTTATATTTATAGCTATAAGGGTCTTAATAAATTTTTACTATTAGAGGAGGGGAAACTTCTGTAGATTATATAGCGTATATAATAATTAAAATATTTAGCTTTTCCTAGTATACTTAGGGGGAACCTTTATAAATATTACTTTATTAAATATAATATTAAAAATTAAATCGAAATTAAAATAGGCAATTATAACTATTAGGATATAAAACGATTTAATTATTAGAATCGCTACGTATATTTTATATACGCCATCCTTAACCTATTAATCCCCACGTATAATTAAGCGCGCTTTATATTTAAGGAACTAGCCGTTTTAGTTAAATTTATAGGTATATACCTATATTAAACCGAATATCTTATTATTTCCCGCTTCCTTAATATTAACCTACTTTTAGGACTTCTTATCCTTATATTTATTTAGGTATTCCTTCTCCATAATTTTAAAAAATTCTTTAAAGGAGTAAGAATTAAAATTACTATAGTATTTTAGAAGAAGTAGAAAGTTAATTTAATAGAGGGTCTTTAATATACCCTTTATTCTATAGTGGTTAATAATATCCCTTATTATTTTTAATTTAGAATTATAGCCGGGATTAATATTGATACCCTTCTCTCTTATTTATTCTAAGAAAGCTTAGTCTACGACCTTATTTCCCTAAAGGCTTATAAATTGATTGCTCTTTGTAAATGAAAACAATGCGGCCTAATAAAGGTATAAATTTATAATTGGCTATAATTCTTTATTAGAATAAGAGAAATTAGTTACTAGAAATATAGTTAGACTATTAGGAGGCGTAGGGAGATAGCCCTTTTCTTTATCCTTCGAATTTAAGACCGTATTTTAGAAATCTAACGGTAATTATACGGGTAGTAATAGTAAAGGCTTTAAAGACCCTTATAATATCTTTAAACCCAACGGTGTTTTTAATACCTATAGGACTTCTAAAACTCTAAACTGCGTCTATATCTCTAAAGACCCTAATTTCTCCTCTTCTCCTAATATATTTTCGGTTTTAGTAAAAAAAATTTAAATAACGGGGCTAAGAATTCCGTTATTTACAATAGGTATAGTTTCGATTTGCAAGACGTTTACTTACGTAATATTTATTTAATAAAAATCTTTTAATTATATAACCAATTCTTTAAAAGAAATATTAAAGGTATTATAAATTTCTTTAATATTATTACTAAGAAAAACCTCGTTTTTATTAAATACGACGTCTCGTATAATAATAATAGAATTAATATAAAGATTCTAAATCCTATAAATATTCGTTAATTAGTATCTAACTAAAAAGCCGACCTAAGTATAATCCTTAAACTTGATTAATTTATTCTATTCTTTTATAATTTCTATTATAAGAATAAAAGTTTTGTAATTATATACTTTGAGGTATACGATAGTAAGGGGGGGTTTAATAAAGGAACGATACCGTCTTTAAATTAGTAATACGTTTCGAATTAGTCTTAGGGAGATTTCTAATAATATTCCGCCTTAGGAGTTAGGTTATATAAGTATATAATTGCTCTAATAATTTCTATTTATAGTTTATAAGGAAGATTTATATTTAATTATATTACTATACCTTTAATCTTGATTATACCCCCTAAACGCTCTACGCTGCCGTTTTAAATTTATATATAAAGCGCTAAAGGTTTAATACTAATTCCTTTAGTAGTAAACTAAATAATAATATTCTTACTACTAGTTATTTTGTTATTATATTTAATTATCCGAAGTACGATTTAATATTAAATCTATAACCCTATATAAAAGGATTCCAAATACGTAATAATAGATTTAGCTTCTCTATTACTTAAATAATATACTTAAATAAATTTAAATTACTAATTTATAATTATTATTAAATTTAAATACTTCTAGCCTCCTACCTTTACCTCCTTATAAAAAAAGAAATCGACGGCTAATCGTAGTTTAGGGCCCTCTAAATAATTACGAACTTCTCTACATACCTAGCGCTTCAACTTAATTTTAATATATAGTTCGCAATATACTATATCCGGTCCCTTAAATCGTACGCTATATTCTTACTCCGTTAATTTAATTAAAATTTCGGGTCCCGGGTAGCCAAATTAAAAATATTAATAAAGGAGTTTACTTTTTAGGGCTTCCACTTAATATAGCTTATATACTATATAGTAAAAAAAGATTCGTCAACGCTATTTTATAAAACAATATATTCTAAAATGAATTACTTGTATTTAAAATGAATATAATAAATAAAAGAATCTATAAAGCGGGAATATAAATAACTATTTTTATAATCCAAGTAAATTTGTTTATTTTTAAATTATTTTAAGGAGACGAGGTTACAAATTACACCTGGTATTAAGGCGACGTTAAGGAATTAAAACTCTCTATTTCCAACGTCGTCCTAAACTATAATTATAATAATATTATACCCCTTAATAGAAATCCACTTATTTCTAGCCTATATATAATTACTAATATTTCATAGGGTAAAGTCTTTAAACCGATTAACTTTATTAAAAATATATATTATTATACTTAAATCAAAGATTATAAAATCTCTTAATAGGTATACAGCGCCGCGTTTCGCTATAAGCACTAAAAAACTATTCTTACTTACCCAACGTCTATAAAATTAATTATTTTAATTCTTATCGTCCTACTACGTTTATAAATAGTTAATAACTTCTTTAAATATTTTATCCTTCTTTAAATTAACGAGCGCACGCTTCTTAATAATAAGACTTTCGATTTAACCTTTATAAGCTAACTATAACTTAACGTAGTAATACTTATCTAAATTATA